CCAATAGCCATGGGCTCATGCTTGGATCAGGACCACCAGTTTTACTGAAGTTGTATATTCTATCTTTGAAGAGTGAGCAACGAGCATATCCAACAGTGTGGCCACTTAGAATTGAAAATAAACAAGTAATTAAAGGTCGATGAAATGAGATGAAAATCGTCAGAGTTTAAATTTCAGTACGTGATTTCTTTCAATCTCTCTAAGTTTTGATGGTCAAAGTTATTCAGTGACCATGTTTGTTAATGGTTACGAGGTAGTAGTAATTAAGAACAATCCTAGTAATTAGTCTTCTACTCATCGTAAATGCTCTCTTCTCTCTCCTCTGTCAAATCTCTAACAACGGCTCTTTCTCAGCCCATATCAGTAACGCACCATCGGCAGGGGCCGAGTATGGCGAAAATTCGTGTGGAAGTAGATTTGCTAAAATCATTGCCTCAGAGTGTATGGGTTGGATTGGAAGATGATAAATCACCTCTAAAGGGCTATTGTAAACACTGCAGGAAAATAGGGCATTACATAGTTGATTGCAGGGCTTTTGAGAGAATCAATGTAGTCCCTAAAATTGTGATACAAGACAATGAGCAACACATTGTTGAGGCAACTACGGCAGAAGAGAAACAACCAAATCCAAAAGAATTGGATACCAATGTGGAAATGGCTGAAAAAGAAGACAATTCTTGTAATACGGCGGGGCAAAGCTCACAAAAGGGTAGAAAACACCAATGAAGAAGAGGTTGGGGACTCGAAAACTGATTCTGAAAATGATAACCATCAAATTGTATATATACGAGCAGAAAGAAAAATTCCAAAAAGAAGAATAAAGTTATGATTAAGACCATAATACCACAAAGAGTCTACAGAATTAAGAAAAAACAGGCTACTAGTAATAGACAACAAGAGGGTACGAAACTAGATCATGAAGCTGACGAACAACATGACAAGAAGGATACTGATGAAAATCAAGAAAAAAAAATCAAATCTTAGACTCAAAAGTGGCTTATGTAGCTATTTATGAACCTTTTATTGATATGACCAAGATAAATGGTTACAAAAGGTATTTTGGTTTTCAACATTGTATGGCTAACAACAATGGACAGATATGGTGCTTTTGGAACAATGGGGGTCACACACAGGTCATTGCCAACACTGATCAACAGTTAACTCTTCATCTTAAAGATTCTCCCAGTGATACAGGCATTTTCGTAACAGCAGTCTATGCCAAATGCTCAGATATTACTGAGATGAACAATAATATTAATGATATGCAGAGTACGTTAGATGGTTGAACATGCAAGATTCTATGTTGAGACAAAAAACTCAGTTACAATGGTTTAAAGATGGTGATAAAAACACCAACTACTTTCACAGTGTCCTAAAGACTAAAAGGAGAAGGTTACAAATTCCAAGAATTAAGAATGACAGAGGTAAGTGGATTCAAGGAGACAATAAAATTGCCATCAAACACTTCCAAAGACAATTCAACCTATTATCTGCATTGATATTATTGAATTTTTCAAGGGCAAGAATCTCACTAAATTCTATACTCATTCATGCTTGACCTTGATTCCAAAAATTGAGTCTCCTACTAATTTTGCTGAGTTTAGACCTAAACAATTTTACTAACAAGATCATTTCCAAAATTTTAGCTAATAGAATCAATGCGTTACTTGGCAAATTGATTTCTGAAAATCAAAGTGGATTTGTTTCTGGTAGGCTTATTACTGATAATGTTATGCTCTCTCAGGAGATTATTCATGGAATTGCAAAAGAGAATATAGGTGGTAATGTGGTTTTAAAACTAGATATGGCTAAAGCTTATGACAGGCTCTCTTGGTCTTTTTTAATCAAGGTTTGAAAAAAATTGGCTTTACTAATGATTGGATTGATTTGATTTGGAGGAACATCTCTAATGTTTGGTATTCCATTATTATAAATGGTACTAGACATGGTTTTTTCACTTCCACTCGGGGGCTCAAACAAGGTGTTCCTATTTCCCCATCCCTTTTCATCCCTTTCTCTATGCATAAAAATGGTCCTCAAATTACGCATCTTGCTTATGCTGATGATATTGTTATTTTTAGTAGCGGCAATACTAATTCTGTTAAGTTGATCATGAAGCATATAAAAAATTATGAAAAGATTTCTGGACAAAAAGCGAACAAGAATTAGGTCCTCTCGCTCAAAGTTTCCCTGACTATATCACTAGCAGAAACTCTAAACTCAAAGTCAAAGACTTCCCAAAGTTATATATTACCCTTCCCTGTAATATTGCCTTACATATTACTTCTATTGACTTGGGTCTTGATGACAGGCTAGACTATGGAATATGGACCAATTCAGAAGATTGCCAATACTCTAACGTTTCTGCCTAGGAGAATATTAGAGAGCACAGACAAAAAGATAACTTTATTATTAATATTTGGCACAATTCTATTCCTTTTAAAAATGTCTTTCTTATGCTTGAGGCTAATTGCCCAAAAACTTCCTTTCACAGAGGCTCGAGCTAAATTTGGAACTCAAGACGACATAGATTGTGTATGTTGTCCGATGCCCCAGGGCGAAAGTATATAACATGTCTTTGTCGAGGGGAAAGCAGCTGAGCATATTTGGAGAACTTTAAGAAGCCCTCTTGGCATCATACATCAACAAGTACATGCTCAAAATATTCTCAACAATTGGTGGAAAACAAAACCAAGCAATGAGATTCATAAACTGATCCTGAAAGCCACCCCGATATTAATTTTTTGGGAGATTTGGAAAACTTGGACTGGTTGTAGATATGGGAATAACAACAAGTTTCATCATTAAAGTTGTGCTTCATAATTCCTTTCCTTCCATCGACACGAAGGAAAGCTGGAACAGAATTTGTGAGAAAATCGAGAGAATCAGGCCACCTATTAGATGTAGCTCTGTTTGCTGGATTAGACCTCAGAAGGGAATGGTGAAAATTAATACGGATGACAGTTTTTTCAGCAATGATAAGAGAGCAGGAATAGGTGGGATAGTAAGACACGATAATGGTAACATTATTATAGCCTTCTCCATTCCTGTACAATGCAACAACAACAATCATGCTGTTGATAATGGTATTAAATGGTGCATCAACCATGGTTATAACAACCTGCAAATTGAATTGGACTCTTTTGTTATTGCAAATATGTTGAGGAACAAATTGACCAACAATATAAAGATTAAGCACATTGTGGACAGAATTACCAACTTCTTGACAGGCACAAATCACCATTTTCTCACTGTTTTAGAGAAGCCAATCAAGTGGCGGATTTCTTGGCTAAAAATGCCTCTTCAAGTGGAAATAGTACCTTCTATCACTCTTTTCAAGAACTCCCAAGAGAGGCAAGGGGATTATTTCAACTCGATAAATGGCAACTCCCTACGATTAGAAGAAGATTTGAGAAATGTAATTTTTTTTGTTAGCTAATTATTTGTATAGGCTACTTCCTTTCCTTTAGATTGTTTGATCAATCTCTTTTGCTCGTTAGAGGCAAGGTCCATGTCCTCCTCTAATCTTTTGTAAGTATTTCTACTTATATTTTACATGGTAGGGGTCGTCTAGTAAAACCCCCCACACTCGTAGGCTCACAACCTATTGGTGATGGCTTTTGATTAAAAAAAAAGAAGAGGTAGCATGTACTTATCATAGGGTAGATTCACCAAACAGAGAGTAGTGGATTCAGCAAAACTCAATATATAATTTTGGCTTGAATATTGTATTTATGTTTAAAAATTTATTTAATATTATAATTAATCTATCTAAAACGCGGTAACCAAAGAAGATTATGGCTTGAAACTCTAGGTGCAAGGAAGCTAGTTTGAGTACCATTGTCATAAAAAGAAAATCTAGAATAAGATAAGGGTTGTAAAATAAAAACGTTAAAAAGGATAGCATCCAAAGGTATGTCCTAATCGGCAATATAATGAGAGTTGAACCATAGATCTACCATGTTATTGAATTGTATATCCTATCTTTAATGAGTGTTGTCAAATATTAATGAAGTTCTAGGACATTTATTCTTTAACTTAGACAATAGCCATTGGCTCATGGTTGGATCAGGACCACCAGTATTATTGAAGTAGTTGTATATTTAATGGTTGGATCAGGACCACTCTTAGTGTACTGCAGTTCAGATGATAATATTCCAAATCACGAATAAGAAGTGGATTGGTTTTACATTTCAATGGCTATAGGATTTGTACTAATCTTTTGGGGTGTTTGTGGTTCATTCTTTTTTAAGAGATCATGGAGACATGCTTATTTTTTTTTCTAGACCGTAGCTATGAAAATTGTTTCTTGCAAAGGTACCAATATGTTGAGAGATGTGATTAAGGTATTGCTATCTTCAAAAGTTGTTTGTATACCTACACTTTTTCATGTTAGGAATACAAACTATATGAGATGAAAATGGATCTTTGCTATCATCCTTTTTTCTTCCACGGTGTGTTTGGTACGGAGGAAAATGTTTTCTTGGAAAATAAGTGGATTTTTAACTTATTTTCTCATGTTTGGTTGGTGAATGAAAAATATTTTTCAGAAAATATCTTTTATTTTGGGCCGGGCTTGAGACTAAAAAATACTTTTTAGGTAAAATAATTTCTGATCTGAAAATCAACCTGCCCGATAATTGATTTAGGACCCGACCCTGACACCCAAACTAGGACAAGTCCCCAATGACCGTTTTAAAATCCGACCCTGAGATTTGACCCAGGACCTGACCCAGGAAAAATAATTTCAAAAATAAATATTATTTTTTAAAAAAAATTGACAGGGTCACGGGATGGAGGGGGGGGGTAGGGGTAGGGTGTGTGGTGAAAGTGATTAAATAAAAATGAATTTTTTTAAAATTTGAAATATTTTCAAAAACTATTTTAAAAAAAAAAAATTATTTGACGAGGGTGGGGTAGGGAGTAGGGGTGGTAGGTGTCGGGTGAGGTAAAAAAATCTTATAATTTGAAACATTTTAAAAAAGTATTTTTTTAATTTTTTAATTTTGGGAGGGGGCAGGGGGGCTGATTTGGTGGTAGGGATAAAAATATATTTGAAATTTAAAAAATAAGAAAATTCATTTATTTATTTGAATGGGGAGGGTCGGGTACGGGGTAGGGTAAGAAAAAATAAATTAAAGGATAAAGTAGAGTTTTGAAAAATGTTTTCCTTAATGAAAGAAAAGTCATTTTTTTTAAATTTGAAAAAAATGAGTTAATTTGAAAAATAGTTTCTAAACATTTAAGCCAACAAGACAAGTTCATCATTATGGGCATGGTGGACATGATAAAGTTGTAGAGAAGAATTGTTGACTTAATTAATATATACATAAAAAAAAAACACTTTAAAGTCAAGCAGTCCACATTAACATGCATCATCTTACTAAAACTACACATTAATTTTCAATTATTATACAGTTATTAATAGTTATATATAATTACCAAAAAAAATAAATAGCTATATATACATATAGTAAGCAACTACTTAAAGATATATCCATGGAGGTTTTGAATAGTTTGCAATCCTTGAGTAAGAATATATTTTCTACCATACATTGAGTAAGATATACTTAGAATCTAGATACATGTATTTTTGCTATCAAATACATTAAAATAGGGAGAGAGGCAAGCGAAATGGGAAGGGAGGCGAGGGAGATAGTCATGCATCTCAGATACATGCGAACCACACTAGGTACACACTAGATACATGCATCTGTATGTAACTGGTGTGATTCACATGAATATGGGGTACCTGATACATAGGAGGGTGACGAGCGAGATGTATTTGAAAAACTTGTATTTGAACATATCTAAATGTATCTAGATGCACTAAAATCTGATAGGATTCGCAAAATTACATATTAGAATGTATTTGAATAATTAATTCCTAAATTAGTGAAATTTATATAAGTTTTTGAAAAATTTAATACATATAAAATGAAGATATAGGAAGCAATAACTAGTCAAATTACGAACAAAATTTCCATTCTAACAAGTCAATTGTGCATGAAAGAAGGTGTTATGAACCAGCCTCAGCCCAATGTCAATACCTATACGGATGCCACACAACTAGTTATTGGGCCGAAAAGAAGCAGCAAAATTAGAAGGCCTTCACAAAGGTTGGTTTGGGACCCAGGCCTAATAAACAACTAGTTAAAAGGATGACAGATGAGAAAGAACGGTTTATGCAAAACTGTTATGAAGAGTCTATGTTTTCTCGTCCCCTTTCTAAGGATCTGGTTTCTCATCTCTTTCTAATTCTTACTATCTTTTAATTCAGTTGTTTTAGTCGATAACTATTGTTAATTACCATAATTTCTATTGTATCCTTATTGAGTAATTGGAATGCATCTATGAGTTTCTGCTGAGAATTGAGTTGTTACATTGGTTCTCTCGTTGAGACCATCTACCATGGTGGACCTATCTCAAGCCCCCGTCATGGGTCGTTTCAATGGTGACAATCCTCTAGATTGGGTGATTCTGTTGACATTGATGAGAAATTGAGTTTGAGCTCTTTGAAGAAGAAGGCGATAGAGTGATCAAGGAAATGAATTAGCTCAATGCTTACAGCTGTAATATTTGTCTGATCAGTCTCTTACGTTTATTAGGAGTTGTGTTCGCATTCTATTCATATTAGGAGTTGTATATGATTTATATTTGCACTCTACTAGGTGAATTAGGAGTCTGAAATTAGTTGAAGAAGTCTACGCATATGTGGACTCAATGTGTATTAATACACGACAATTGTACAACTTGGACATATACACGATAAAATAAAAAAGGCAAAGCAGAGAATTTCCTCTGAAAATCCTTCTCTTTTTTCATGGTATCATAGCAGGGTCCGTCTCACCCGAT